TGATTACTGTTGCCCTGTGTATGACAATATAACTAACGATTTGAATAATAAGTTGTAACGGGCGTTAAACGTCTGCATTCGGTTCATTTATGATTTACCTAAGTATGAGCATATTACCGAGTTTAGAATCAGGTCTGGACTTCTTAATGTTGCAACGAGAAGACAATTTTTTATTGGTAACTTGATTTTTAATATTTCCAACAATATGATTCCTATATACCTGTATGATTTTTTTGAGTTTAAAGATACCAATGAAGAATCTCGAGACAGATTCCGAGAAAATAGATCTCCTTTAATAATTCCACAACATAGAACATGTAAAATGCAAAGATCATAAGAGGAGCAAGACTATGGAACAAGCTTCCAAAAACAATTCGGAATTTAAGGTGTTAGTACCACATCTTTTTCAACAAAATCGATTTTCTAAAAACTGCACATTCTTGTACTAAATATACGTAGAAATGCTGTGGAAACTATTATTTTGGTTGGAAACTTCGGTAACATATCGAAAAACGGGATACAATGTAAAAGTCACGCGCTCATGGAGCGTACTTTTCGCTAGTACAATGTATGCTTTTATAAATATATAACTATATAAATATAAATATATATCAAATTATACGTATATGTATATAAGAGCATATATACATGTATACAAGCTTACTTTTCAAAAAAAATATTAAAAATTTTATTTTTCGATAACCTGAATCAGATATACAGTCTCCGCCAATCACAAGTAGGGGTATTTTCAGGCGGCCATGACATCAAGATAATGCAGAATAAATAAGAAATAACAATTTTTTTAACAGTTTAAAACCCCTTCTTTTAGGTATATAAAGTTTAAAGTAAATAAAATAAATTTTGTAATATAAAAAAGTATTTATGAAAAGTCACTGAGATGTGGTACTAACCCCTTAACTACACAATTTACTTTTAAAAAATGCTTTTTTGATTTATTATTTTAAAATAATAGAAATACTTTTGATATAATATATTGGTAACTTATTAATATCTTTTAAAATATTGAGTGTATGCAAATAGTTTTTATTTTTCTTATCATGTCCTTTTTCCTCTTGAATTATATTTTTTTTGCCACTATATTGTTGTTTAGTTTTAGTTTTTTGTATTTTATTTATATAATGAATGTATTTTTTATTACTACAAATTGTTACATCTAAAATGTACATTAAAGGGCTCCTTAGGCCTAGAAACTTCTTTTTTGAAATAAAATAAAAATATATTTTAAAGGTGATTTTTAACATTGACTAGTTGCAATGGAATATTATTTTAAATATTCTAATTATTAATTACCCTGTTGAAAAAACTTGTACAGGATCGTGTACACGATCTTTTGCATGATTGTGCACCGATCTTGCACATTTTCATTCGCCAGGTCATGTACAAGAGCATCAAGTGAACATGTAAAAAGAATTGGAACAACGATCTTGTACAAGAACATTTACAAGAACATGTACATGTTCATATTTATGTCAACTAATGGAATCCACTATACAAGTCCATGCTCGTGTACTCGAAAATGATCGTGTGTAAGATCATGTACAAAATTTTGAGTTTTCCCTTACAGTTAATTATTAAAATATTTAATGGCAGCACAGTAGTTTTTTATGGCTTGTATAGATGCTTTGTAGAAAAAAAAGATTTACGTATTTTTTTTATAAGTGTTCAAATTTTTGAGTTATGAATTTTTAAAAATCTGATTTTTTGAAGTTTTTTTTAAATACACCAAACCATCGAAACGTCGCAAGTTGACAAAATAACATAAATTTGTTTTATGTTTTTTACCTTCCATTAATCGAATTTTACATCTCATCATTTTTTATTTGATTACAATGATCAAAATTTGATAAAGTGAAATTTGTTATTACTTACATGATACAAGTTTCAATTACAAAATTCAAATTTCGTCTATCATTTTGACATTAATAAGCGACATTTCACTAATTCTAATATCTTATTCGCAAACAGAAATATCTAAAAGCTCCGAGGAGTTATTTCTAGGTATTTTTAGGTACTTTTCTATACTTCTGGTTCGCCATGTTTGATCCGCCATTTTGAATTTAGAAAATCTGGGACCAGTTTTATAATCAACGACATCGACAATTATTGAGTAGTTATTTCTGGGAATTTTTAAGTACTTTTTTATACTTCTGGTTAGCCAGAACCATTTTGAATATGGTTACTGTTTTGTTTGGTTTACAGTAAACGATCACAAATCTTTAACAGTAAGCATTTTTATCAATATATGATAGAATGTAGTATTAAATTCCATAATTTTCTATATTAAACAACATTTTTAGACACTTGACGGACATTATTAAGCTCGCCATGTTGAATTTTGAAATCGGTAAATACACTTTATGTAGCTCAGGACTTGCAGAAGCGATATTGAAAGCGTTCATACATAATATCCTGATACTGTAAAAATAAATTACGAAGGACAATCTCTGATCGTAAATCTTAAGCTTTTACATGAGAGAGAAAAATATAGAAATATCTTTTGTCCTTTTCTCTCTCATGTACCCTACTGAAAATTCCTATATAAAATCTTACATGGGATGTAAGAAATTATATAAGAATCTACATGAATTCCTATGTAGAAACACAAATTCAATCAGGATAAATAAATTGGTTTAAAGCAGGAATGATAAATCATGCCAGAAAACAACCATTTGATTTATTCTTTAAATACGATATCAAAAATTTCACACAGTACACATTGGGAAAAAAACGTAACTGAAGAAAACTTTAGAGACATAGAATTGTTATTTTTGTATTCGAATGTAAAAACAATCACTAAACAAAAATTTAATGATCTTATGGTTTTAATGGATTATGTTCCTCAAAAGTACCAATCCGTTTATCAAAAATTAAGAACTAATTACTCCTTTAAAGACTATGATTTCGTCAGTGATGACAGCGATGATGAATAAGAGTGTTTTTAATAACCTTTTCGATTTTATTCGTATGAAACAATGAGAGTTGTTATTATTATTTATTGTATCGTTTAAATAATATTTTTATAACGATTATATTAATAATCTTTCCATGTTAGATATCCCTCAAATAAATATGAAATTTATAATAAATTTGTCTGCTTATTGCTTTATACATGAAATCATTGAAAAACACTTCTATGAGAGATTCCACTATAATTTTTTTGCAAAAATAAAACAATGAAATTAATTAATTTTGCGAAATAATTCCAAATCTCTTCAGCTCAATAAAATTATCCATTTTTTCAAAGTTTAAAAGAATAATTTAAACGATTGCAAGAAGTAGTAGAATTAAATAAAATAAAAGTTATTTTAGCACTTGCTGTAATAAAATCATATAAAATAATCATTTTAGTTTCTAATATTTTTAGTTCAATTAACTTCATTTTAAAAATTATCTTAGGAACTTTTTGAATTAATCAGACAAACAATAAAATTTAGTAAGATTTATTTTGTTACGTTGAAACGTCCAAATGGTAAATTTATTATATACTAAAATTAAAAAATATATAAAATGTGAATAATTTAAAATTTTCATAATATAGTTATGAATCATAATTATCATAATTTTAATAATATTTAACAGAACGTACTAAATCAGGTTACACCTATTCATTACTTTATTAGTTTATTTTGATTTTTATGGTTATTTAAATGTCAGTAATTTTTACACCAATATAATTATTTATTTCACTCTTCCTCCTATTGTTTTTTAAACCATTTTCGCTATCAGCCCCTCAGTTTTCAAGCAAGTCGGATCAATTTTATAAAAAAAGTCCGCCATATTGAATCCGCCATTTTGAATTTCGGAAAACTAATGATAGATTCGTAATCAGCGACCCCAAAACTCTGAGTAACAGTTTCTAAGCAAATCGGATCAATTTTTTTTTAAATGTCCGCCATATTGGATCCGCCATTTTGAATTTTTTATTTTGAGGTCATAATTGAATTCAGCGACCCTAAAAACCTAGGTTTATCAATTTTTAAAAATAAATTATATTTATTTTGAGCTAAGATGAACACGACCCACGGGTGGGTCAGAAACATTCTGGCCAAACTTTTCCACAACCCACCCGTGGGTCAGAAACAGGCAACGGGTCAAATAAGTTCACTTATGCATTTCTTAAATTGACATGCTGTATGCATGTAAATTTACTAAAAGTAACGCTCTTAGTATATACTACGCTCTTATATCAGATCCCAATACACAGCGGATAAACTTTTCTAAATTTGTCAAAATTGCTAATTCAGTGTACTTCTCATTTTAATAATTATTTTTTCATATTATTAGTCAAATACGCTTTCTTTCCATAGTTTTATATAACAATTTTCTATTTTCACATACCAAAAGAATAATTTTAATTTTCTATTAAAAAATGGCGGACGCAATATATATTGTGTGTAAAATATGTTTTAGGTTATAATAATTACATAAACTTTAAAAGTTTCTATAATATGGATATGTTTATTCTTCTGGTTTAATAATTTTTAGGTTATATCATGGAAGATGTTGACATTGCGTTTGTTATGTGAATAATGGTAAAAATAATTTTGAAATTAAAAATTTTGTAAACTTAAAAAGAAATATTATTTTAATACTTATATTTATTTTAATTATTATTAAATATTAAATTTTGTTTCTAGCGTAAAGTTGGTATAAAGTGTTGTGCGGAATTTAAAAGGTATTTAATACTATTTTTAAGCCTTTGAAAGATGTAGAATATCTTTGGTAAATATTGAAATGAGAAGTTAAAATTTTAGTATGGGTTATTGTTCTTCAAATATCATAACTTTGCAATTTTTTGAATTCAAATTTTTAATTTTTCAATTACATAGAAAATATATTTGCAATATTAAATATCTTAATGTTGGAAGTGTACTAAAAATGTTCTTTACTTAAATGTTACTTAAACAAAATTGTTTCATTATGAAAGCTACAGTTTATGAACTACGTATCAGAATGTGTCTATTTAAAAATGTACTAACCTCATGATGAGCTACTTTTTTTGAGATTTGTATTTTTTTGTGACAAGAATTTTGAAAAACAAATTGTTCATTTAACAAAGAATTTGGTAAAATTACTTCATCGAAATATGTTTCCTTCATATTAAAAATACATTGCTTTCCATAAGAAGCACGTGTTTTTACATATACATAGGTACTCCTCATTTTATCTGTTTTTATATATTAAATGATTATGAACTAATTTAAATCTTCTCTTTATTATCTTTTTTATGTGCTGTGGCTTTATTATATGTCAATAAATAAAATTAAAGTACTTTTTATTACTATACTGTCAAAAATATTTGTACATTAAACTGAAATTAGGTTTTAGAAAAAATGACAGTAGGTGACTTACAATTTCGTATTTTACATTTTCGTGTCTTCTGAGATAAAGCTTAGAAATGATTCTATTTACTCAATCAATTTTTAATATATGTTATAACATTTTTGTGACCATTTTTTCTTTTATTTATTATTATTATTATTATTAAATTTTGTTAAGTCTTAATAAAAGGATAATAATAATTATTATCACAAGATTATAATAGGAAAATGTTATCTACATTTTGAGGTTAATTTTGAATTATTATTATTTTTAAAGGGAATAATTTATTTAAGCGCCAGAATATTTTATAAAAAAATATAAAAAAGTTAATTATTTAATTATTTTAAATATTTACCAGACTAGTTCAAAAACTGATAGGAAAACTTCCTAGCAAATCGCGGAGAGGGGGGAGGTAAGGAGAAAAACACATTAATTATTCCACTGAATTTAATTTCACTGTAATATTTATTTAAATTCCACTATTTAATTTTATTATTAATTTATTAATTTTCTTTTAAAATAATATTTGAAGAGTTTAATTAATCTACTTAATACTTAATATACTAATTATAATAATAATGAATGAACTTACAAAAAAGATTATTCCGCTTGCCATGCGGTGAGCAAACATCACTTTAATTTTTTTTAAATTATATTTATTATTATGTCAATCTGGCGAGAAATGGAATTTATACATAACTGGGACTCACCGTTAATGCGTCGTCGTCCACGCATCGCGCTGACCTTTGACTCTAGTCGGCGTAATTTTTCACGCTTTCTTTTTGATGCTGAGTCCCAGTGAAAGTGATTAATAACTTTCTATTTGTCGATAATCAATATATCACGCGTCGATAATTTTTATCGATGCCGCTGGTAAGGTAGATCGCAACTCTTCCAGAGAGCGTAGTGGTGTCCTCTATTCAAAATGGCTGCCCCCATTATTGTGACAGGAACAAAACAATCAATATTTTTCGGATTACTGGTGCTCTTGAATATTTAGGAATCTCATCGAAATATGTTCACCAGGAAGTACTTCCCCTGCTGACTTCGTAACAGATGAGCGACCATGGATTTGGATATTGTCGACAATTCCTCGTGATAACATGAAATCATATGTGGAACGCGAGTATTCAAATTTTATTTATTAAAATAATACGAGAGTGATCGAACGATTTGGCAGGTTTAATCTATTATTTTACTTTAATTTAATTGTTACATTTTAATAATTACTTATTTTGCCTAACTTATTATTTTTTTTTTAGGAAAAAGGAAGATTCCCATTTTGATGGGGTAATAAGAAAAAAATAACAATAAATTATTGTGTGTGGCAAAATGCCACGTCACAATGTATAAGAAACTTGAAATACAGTTTTAATATATGTGAGGGGTTCCATGCCATTCCAACATATAGTTGACTTCGATTTCTTTAAAGCTACACGATTTTGTCAATTTTTTAATCAAACTGTTTACGAAATATGAATTTTTCAAAATTTGAGGTTTTTAAAAAAATTTCTATTTGAATACTCATAACTTTCTTAAAAATGCATCAATTTTAAAAGTTTTTTTCAAAATCTGTTTTTTAACTGAACTTTTCAAAAATTTCATGCAAAATTTTAAATTATAATTTACTATAAACTGTATACTGTTTCTTCTACATATATTAAATATATTAAAACCTTATTCGCATCAATTTAATACAAAAAAGTAAAATAAAAGATTAAATATGGAGCGCTATCCGCAATATTAGGGTATTCTGTCAAATATTTATATAATTCAATGCAAAATGTTTTAGATATGATTTTTTAATAATAGAAAAAAAGTGAAAAAGTATTAATTAATTATTTTAAAGCATTTGAAAGTGTAATAAATAGTGAAAATTAATGTTTTTACTGTGTACTTTTTGTGTGTATTAGACGACGTTTATCGACAGCAACTGACAGGTTACACTGGTGAACGCTAGATGGCAGCACAGTAAACAATTATGTGGAGAATGAGTATCAATAATAAAGATATAATATAGTTCTCCAACGGATAATAAAACAAAGGTTAACAATTAAAACTTGTTACTAAATATAATATATAATTAACAACTTTATTATCATTTTACATAATGATAATGACAGCACGTGTTACTTGAAAGATTTCTCAAATATGACTAACTAACCTTTTCCGGTCCTCTTACCAACGGTTGCCAAGTATGGCGTCAGCCCGTATATCTATATATAGTGGGGGAACATAAAGCATTCCCCACATACTCCCCCCCGAATGATAATGATATAAGATTTAAAAAAATATAATTATATATATATTATATATATAAAATTGCAACATTTGTATAAAAATCACAATTATAAAATCGTAGAGATATTAATAATACTAAAAATGACATATAATAATTACAGTTAAAAAAAATAAGATCTAATAATTACAAGTTTTTTAATTAAGTTTAAACGGGCTGACGATATAAATTTAATTAAAAATATAAACTACTTATACATAGCTTTTTATCATGTAAATAAAATGTATCATAATTATATAAAAAAAATATGTGCTGTCTACATTTTTGAGCAGATATAATACTAAAAAAAAATAGATAGATAATACTATTACATCCTACGCGATCACGCATACCTCTATCACACATTAAAGCTGACTTTCTTTTTTCTAGAGTATGTTTTAAGTACAGCAGATTTGTTAAAAATAAAATTTGACGGATCGTTGGTTATTGGCACATTTGGCGTTGCATTGGGAAATGAAATTTTTGGTTGAATGTCGGGTTGAATGGTCAAGCCCCTTTTTACAGGATTATTTGCTGGAACTCTTTTTACATTTTGATCATCTGTTTCTCGAAGAAAATATGCGGGCTTGAGCATTTCAACAGAAACGTTGCGAGAAGTTCCATTAACTTCGATTTCAAAAACACGATCAGTTACCCTTTTGATAATTCGGTGTGGACCAGATTAGGGTAGTTCCAAGAATTTTTTTAAATGTCCTGCGCGAAGAAAAACATGAGTTGATGAATAAAGATCTCTAAAAACAAATGCTCTATTTTTGTGGCGGTGCTCAACGGGAATAGGCTTGACTTCCTTCATCAATTCGCGGAATTCTTCTAAAAAGATTTGCGGATTTGGTGCAAAATCATCGTGAAGCACGAATTCGCCGGGAATTCGAATTGTTGTACCGTATAAAAATTCGGCAGGTGACGAACCACAATCCAATACATTGGATCTCAATCCTAATAGAACGATAGGAAGGATACGTGTCCATTCACGAGTGGCATGGTACATGATGGCAGCTTTAAAAGTTCTGTGCCATCTTTCAATAATGCCATTTGAGGCGGGGTGGTATGCAGTGGTACGTATACGCTTGGAGCCAATAAGTTTAAGTAGCGCTTGAAAAAGCGCGGACTCAAATTGGCTGCCCTGATCGGTAGTGATTGTCTCAGGTGATCCAAAGCGTGATACCCAGTTGTTCATGAGAGCACGTACCACAGTTGCTGCCTCAATGTCCCTTAAGGGGACAGCTTCAGGCCAACGTGAAAACCGGTCGATCATGGTCAGACAATATCTGAATCCAGAATCGACCGGGAGGGGACCAACAATGTCTATGTGAATGTGGCGAAAACGCGATTCCGGGGCCACGAATTGCGAAGGTTTGAGACTAACATGTCTAGATATCTTCGAACGTTGACAATCCAGACAATTTTTACACAGTTTCGAAATGTCTTTGTGCATGTTAGGCCACACATATCGCTGACGATTTATGCGGTCCGTGACCTTGGCACCCGGATGAGCCGGAGAATGTAGCAATTTAAAAACGCGTTCGCGCAGAGAAATCGGAACAAATGGTCGGAGGACCTCGCCGGAAAGATCACAAAATATAAAATTGCTGCCTTGACCAAACATGATTTTTTTAGGTTCAGAGATGTATCTCGATCCTCGAGATAAGTCTTCAACTCGGGACAACTACCCTGGGCTTCAGCAAACTCAAGAAGAGTGATCTCCGAAGGAAAAAGGATAGCATCAACACGAGAGAGTGCGCCGGCGACAACGTTCTCGGAACCAGGAATATGCTCAATATTGGTGGTAAACTGCGAAATAAAAGATAGCTGGTTAATTTGTCGAGGAGAAGCTTTTTCCGGACGCTGTTTGAAAGCATATACGAGTGGCTTATGATCAGTAACTACTTTGAATTGATTTGGACCGAGAAAATGTTTAAAGTACTTAATCGACTCGAAGATGTCCGTCAATTCACGATCGTATGCGCTGTAATTGCATTGGGAAGGTGTAAGTTTCTTGGAAAAAAAGGCAAGAGGTTTCCATTCATCTCCGAATCTTTGTTCAAGAGCCGCACCAATACCGGTGTTAGAAGCATCGGTGATTAGGCGCGTCTCTGCTTTGGAACAAGGATGAAATAGCAATGCAGCATTGGCTACCTCATGCTTAATTCTATCAAAAGCAGATTCAGAAACAGGATCCCAAGGTACGATGCGCTTATCATTTTTGCGCGAATCGCGCAAAAAATGATTTAGCGGAATTTGAATGTGAGCGGCATGCTTGATGCAATGACGGTAAAAATTAACGAGGCCCAAGAATCGGCGTAAATCGACGATAGTCTTGGGACGCGGAGAATCAACAATAGCTTTAACTTTTTTGGGAGTAGGGCGAATGCCATTAGTATTTACAATATAGCCTAAAAACTCGAGCTCGCTTTTACCGAAACAACACTTATCTAGGTTTAATCGCAAACGATATTCCCTGAGACGCCGAAAAACCTCTCCAAGATGCAACTCATGCTCAGCCATAGAAGAAGAGGCAATGAGTATGTCATCTATGTAAACGAAAACAAAGTCTAAGTCGCCGAAAGCTTGGAAAATATAACGCTGAAAGGTACTCCCTGCATTTCGCAAACCAAATGTCATGACTTTATACTCATATAACCCAAAA